GTGTGTGTGTTGTGGTGTGTGTGTGTGTTGTGGTGTGTGTGTGTGTTGTGGTGTGTGTGTGTGTTGTGGTGTGTGTGTGTGTGTTGTGGTGTGTGTGTGTGTGTTGTGGTGTGTGTGTGGGTGTGTGTGTGTGTGCGCGCTAGCTCTGGGTCCTGAACTCAGGGGCCTGGGTGTTTATTATCCCTAACCTTTTCTTAGAGACTAGCATCTACCACTTGAGCCACAGCTTTACTTCTGGCTTTCTGATGGTTAAATGGAACTAAGAGTCTCAGGCAGTCTCCTGCCTACCTATCTTTTTGAATGGTGATCTTCAGATCTCATAGGTATGAGCTACCACCACTGCCTGGTGCTTTACTTTTTTAATGTTGAACAGAAAATAATTTTTAAACAGCTCAAAAAAAGTGTGATTTCCAAAACAAGACTTATGCTGTAAGCTTACATACTAGCTTTGGGTATTTGTCAAAAGACAGAAAAGTAATAAGAAAGAGTAGTTTTGCCAGAGAAATTACAACACTTATAAATTGATGTCATCCTATGTTGCATGCAAGAATGACCTCTATCTTCATAATACTGTTGCCAGGAGAAGTAGAAGGGTTAGTGCTGCCACAGGCCAGTGGGATGTGTTTATCTTTAAAGTTATTCTTACTTCTGGGTAGTCCAGAAAGAAGTTGCCTGATACAAATGGGCTAGAGATATGGCTCAGGTGGTAGAGGCCCTGCTAGAGAGTGGGAGTGAGAAGAAGAGAAGAGTGGAGGAGGGAGAGGAAAGGAGTAGGGAAGATGAGGAGGAGGAAGAGGAGAAGGAAGAAAAAAGGCTGGCTCACATACAAAATCTCTTCAGTAGGAACTAGAGTATTTTTGGAAGCTATTGTAAGTATCCAAAGAAACCAATAAAAACTTGAGATCCTCGCATTTTAACTGTCTAGTTTTATAACAAAACAGTAGTGAGGGACATATATTTTCATATTTCAACCTACTGCTATAACAAATAGGTAAGAATAATCACATAACCTATTTGGGTCTCAATTTCCTCAATGTTAAAATGAAGAGACTAAATGGGAATCCTCAATGTCCATAGTAGATCTAAAATACCTATGATTTATCCTTCAAGTTACTTATCTGTTGCCTTCCCTGAAATATTTGAGGGAACCTCCAAAGTGGATCCTTTTTCCTACATTGGTAAGTTCATACCTATTATAATTTTACAACACTAACCTGTCAGTTCCAAATGTCTGAGTATCTTATAATCTTCCCAGTACCCAAGGCTACAGCAGTGACCTAGTATTTGGCACATGTGTGAATACTTACTGGAGGAATTGTTGAACAGCTCACAGCACTGCCTGCAGAAGTAACACTCAGAGTTCTTGTTCTATACTGCTTAATACTTGTCACACTTTCTTCATCTCTAAAACAAAATTTAAAACCCCACAATTTACCAAGTTAATTTCATAACATAATTAATCATAACTGACTAAATTATTTATTTGACAAAGCTTACAAATACCTGAGGAAAATCATTATATTTAAAATTTCTATGAAGGAAAAATATATATAATTCAGATTAATATATTAATAATTTTTATTTTTCAACACTGATAGTATAGTCCCTATCGAACTTCCCATGTCTTGTTTGCAAAACCTTATTTATAAATCTCTTTCATGATCTATATCTGAGACATTTTCTTGAAACCTTACTAAATAAATCATAGGAATAGTAAGAATATAGATAACTTCTTTTTTCTTTTCAGACAGGGTCTTAATAGTTGCAAGTCTGATCTCTAACTCATGAACTTCTTGCCTTGGCCTCCCTACGTATTTCAAGTATGGAGAAGCATCAAGCCTAGCCAGAGACAGTATTATTAAGTTTGCTTTATAAAAATATAGGAAAAAACATGGAAGCAAATTTATTTCTCACATTGTCTAAGATTTTACTATTTATTTACTCGAGGTTTTAATATATATGATGTGTAAGAAGTCTCAGACAAGAGTAATATTCAATATTTTTAGCAACAAGTTTTGATTCTATATTCAGCAATAAAATTCCATGTTGAGAAGACCAGTAATGAAATTTTGTTGAACATGTGTACAGAAACTGCAAACAATTTATCACTTGCTTACTTTGCTTAAAAGACTACCTATCTCTACACAGGTTTCTTCTAACACTGTGATAGTTAAATTTGTATGTCAACTACACCAGTGTAGTTGATGCCAAGTATTTGAATATATATTCTGGGTATGTATGTGAGAGTGTTTCTGAAGTGGTAGAACTGCCTTCCCCAGTATAGGTAAGGTATCCAACCCATGAAAGCAAAATAAAAGAAAATCTTAGTTTGTCTCTGAGTTCGGACATCAGAAGTCTCCTGACTCTAAACTTTAAACCTACCCTAATGGTTCTTTTTGTTCTTAGACTTTCAAATCTGGACTAGAGCTATACTATTTCCTTAGTCAGGATTCCAGCTTGCTGACTGCAAATTCTGGCATATCTCAGCCTAAATATGGACCAATTCCTTAAGATGAACCTAGATTTATAATGGCATGGCTTACAATCTTTCAATTTTACAATTATGTGTGAAGGTAATAAGCATGTGGTAAAACCCATTATTTTGAAGTTTGATCTTTTCTTGGGCTAACAATATGTGGTTTGAAACTCCCTTGAAATACTGGAAAACAGTAAAGCCACAGAGGCCAATGAGTTATACCATCAGGGTAAACAACAGATACTCTCTGTAGTGTTTTCATAGCTCAGTCACGCTATAATATTTGGTAGGTTAGGTGAATTAAATGTAATTTTAACATTCAAATAATTGGACTGCAAACCCACAATAAATCTATTGTCTTGTCTTGTCTGGAGAACCTGTATCTATAGTCACTTACTCAAAATTTGGAACTATTGCTACCCAATTTTTCCTTTTACACTCTGCTTAAGTTTATTAAACACAGTAGCCCTAAGGCTGAAGATGTACACAGCTATAAGCAAAAGAAAAAATAATCTGTATGTTTTGCTTTATAAAAAAATGTAAAACTAAAGGCAGCCTTAAGATACAAGCCTGAAGACATAAAATACTTAATAAACATATGATTGACTTATTTGGAGATAAGTAAAACCACAACTGCATTAAACTTTACTTTGCTAATAAACTATCCAAAATTTAAAAATTGTTAGACTTTTGGGAATTTAAGCTGAGCCTAATTCATTAGCATTTTCAAAACATTCTTAAAACACAGGACCATTATTTAATTTAAGCTGTATATGAAGAAAATATAGATGGCTGAAAATACTAGAGGAAAATTCACTGTAGGTATTTTACATAGAAAGCAGATTCACTGCATAATTGATGTACTTATAGGTCTTTATAAAATTCAAACACACTTTAGATATGTAATTCTGGAACCTGATCCATTTAAAAACTGATTATCAAGAGACATTAATTCAATGAAAGCCCCAAGTTTCTAGTTAAAAGAATTATTTGAAATTTAGCCAACAGGCTACTTCAAATTCAATCAACGGTAAGGTAGCTATGTTAAGTTTTAACACCAAAGGATTATTTGACTTTCTCTTTACATAACAATGTCAGAATATAACTGTTATATCATTTTCTTTTAAATTTCAAACTAATTTGCCAGAATAAAAGAATACTGGTCTCAAGATTAAATCAAAATCCCTCAACAAGAATCTCTACCTGAAAGGCCTGAATTCTTTGTTTAAGGATGACAAGGCAATCAGACGGGGGCATTCATCTTCATATTCTTCAAAGCCAGCAGGGCATCCTTGACCTGTATGACCATTCTGTACGCTGTCATTTTCTGCTCTGTTCTTCTCAAAACACTGACTCAAAGAATTGTTTTCTACACTCTGCCCTTTTATTTCTTCTATAGCTTCAATGAATTTGGTCATTTCAAAATTCTGTGCATTAGCAGTCTCCTCTGATACGTCTTCCTTTATTTGTTCAAGGATTCCTGATGAGCTACCTATCTCATCAACAGAGTTCTGTTCACTTTCAATTTCTAATCTGCACACTGTTGCTTTCTCCAAACCTTCTTCATCTGACAGTGAGAACTCAGACCCCTCTTCTGTCTCAGTATTTTTCTCATCTGGACCTACTGGATGTAGCAGTTCATCATCTGCCTGCATTTCCTTTGTGTAACCGCTGGCAGACACCTCCACATCAAGAGAATCTTCCCTCCTAGGAAAAATAAAGTGTGAAGCATTTAAAGAGAAGACACTGAGATGGATGTTTACTATTTTGTTAAATTCTCAAGTGATTCAATACTCTAAAACCTTTTAAATAATTTTCTTTAATTTTTTTTATTACCTTAAGTATATAAACATAAAAAGTTTATGCTGGTTGTCATTTTAAAAATAACATGAATAAAAAGCAACCCATAGAAAAAAGATAATATAAACTTCAGTTATAGAGAGAAAAATGGGAGAAAACAAGGGAGGAGGTAACAATGTTTGACAAGAAATGTACGTATTTTTACCATGTAACTGTAACCCCTCTGACATCACCTTCACAATAAAAATAAAAAAGAAACTTCAGTTATAAAAAACTAAGTTAATAAGTATTACCTGAGTAAATTAATTTGTAAGGGAGATAAGATTTCTTTTAAGATTATAAAGCTCATTTTAAATCAGGAAATACCTTAAAGTATTTAAGACAAATAAAAAACATTAGCTTAAAAAAACGCATGTGATTGAGCCAGGTGCTGGTGGCTCACGCCTATAATCCTAGCTACTCAGGAGGCTGAGATCTGAGGATTGAGGTTCAAAGCCAGCCTGGGCAGGAAAGTCCGTGAAATTCTTATCTCCAATAAACCATTAGAAAACTGGAAGTGGTGCTGTTGCTCAAGCAGTAGAGCACTAGCCTTGAGCTGAAGAGCGCAGGGACAGCGCCCAAGCCCAGAGTTCAAGCCCCACGACCGACAAAAAAAGAAAAAAAAAAGAAAATGCATGTGATTATATCCCAAGAATCAATTAAGTTTTTGCTTTAATTATAAGGAAAAACTCATATTTCAATGAATGTTTCAATTGATTCCTTAGGAATACATTACTAATACAGCAACAAAACAGAAGAAAAGATTCTTGAATTTATAAGAAATAAGATATAATCCACCTGAAATTTAATATCTTTAGTATCTTAGTGGACTAAAAGGTATTTTCAAGTTTTCAATTTTCAGTTATGTGCTATGTAGCAAAGATATTAAACTATGATTATAGTGAGTGAACACCATGAGTTGTTAACTTTTAGAACTAAACTAATTAGTTAAAAACCTTATCATTAAAAGCAATGCTGAACTGGGAACAAGTGGCTCATACCTGTAAATCCTAACTACTCAAGAGGTTGAGATCTGAGGATCAAAGTTTGATGCCAGCCCAGGTAGGAAAGTCCGTGAGACTTTTTTTTTTTTTGTCGGTCGTGGGGCTTGAACTCTGGGCCTGGGCGCTGTCCCTCAGCTCTTCAGCTCAAGGCTAGCGCTCTACCACTTGAGCCACAGCGCCACTTCCTTCCATGAGACTTTTATCTCCCATTAACCACCAGAAAACCAGAAGTGGGAACTGTGACTCAAAGTGGTAGAGCACTAGCCTTGAGTGAAAAAGCTTGGGGAAAGCACCCTGGCTCTGAGTTCAAGCCCCATGCCTGAAAATTAAAAAAAAGCAATGCTGAGTACAAACCTGATATCATTAAATGTTGGATAAAGTTCACTCTCATAGCTGAAACGTTTTATGAAGAAATCTCTAATGCATTTAACATCTCTGTCAAAATACCTGCAAAAACAAAAGATTGTTTTTTATGTCATCTTTTTGTCAGTCATTCTTTTCCAAGTTGGCCAATGACAGTATCATTATTTGCAAATATTTCTACTCCTTATATCAAGATGAAAGATGTTACACAAAGAAAAGACATAGCTGGTAGCTAAGCCTGTAATCTTAGGAAACAGAGAATGGGAAGATTGTGGTTTGAGGCCAACCAGTGCAGGAAGTTCTCCCGGCTTTGTCAACCAATAGCTGGGTCTGAGTTTGCCAACCCAGATACCATGGAAAGTCTAAAATATGTACACTAAGTTTCAGTTATGTGCTTGGGAAGAAAGCAATAACCTATCTCAAAATTAACTAGTGCAAAATGGACTAGTAGAATGGCTTAGAAGTAGAGCAGCTGCATAGCCGGTGCAAGGCTCTGAGTTCAAATTCTATTACTGAGAAAAAAAGTATGAATTAGTTGCCAGTATGTTTGAATTTCTTTAAATAAATAAAAAAATTCTCTAGGGCTAAGTAGCTGTCAATATTTTTTCTGTGGTTAAAAAAGTAAAGGTTTCCTCACATTGTTAATTCATATTAAGATATGTGGTGAGTTGGAGGAGGGTATGAACCCCAAGAAGATTATGAGGTCTACAGTTTGGACCTAATTCCAATGGTCTGGTTGTGCTTCCCATCAGTAACACCCAATATAGTTTCCTAGGAAACCGGGAAAGATGAAGATAAAGAATTTAGGACAGGATGGCACAGAACTGATTGTCTTTATAAAACTTTTTATCAATCTTTATCAAAGATGAAGTTTGGAATTAGAAAGTCAAGTGTTTTTTGCTCTCTGGACACCCTGAGGGAAAAATCTTAATGATTATCATTTTATTTATTTATATATATAATATATATACATATATATAATACATATAAATACACAAATATATTTTTCAAAACCAGAAACATATGGTTATTTATATATTAATCTCTAGCACTTAAGCACAACTCCTATGCCCCAGTGCAGACTCAGAATGTCTCCCCCAAAGAACAACTCAACATAAAAAACTGCAATGTCATAATCTGTTATCAATCCCTAACTTTGGCTGCTCCTAGTCACTGTTCCTTTCTTCTGTGACTATGCTGTTCCATGTTAATAAAAATGTTGATCAATCAAAATAAAAAAAGTACTGACCACCAAATGCCAGTCACTAATCTTTTAGGATTGTTGTGTGGGAAATATTTTTTAAATCACATTTCCTTCTTGGGAATAAATTATGTTTTCTAATGGAAACCAGAAGGAAGAAAAGCTTCAGTTAACATATACTGTTTCAAGTTCAAACTCTACAGAAATAAATGCAAGAATGAAGATTGTATAAATGGTACCATTTGTTACGTTATAAAATAGTTTCTTATAAACAGGAAGAGGAAAAAAAACATTTAACTTTAATTTGATTACACGCAGTTGCATCATGGAATATAAGCAAATAAAAAAAGGAAAAGGTCCTATTTCATAACTTGACTAGTTTAAATGGTTAAGTTATGTGAAGAATATGAATAGTACAGAATACAAAAATGAATTTGTCCTGGGTTAAAGGTGAAATTTTATGTGAATTCATGTCTAATAATAAAATACAAACTAAAAATGACATGAGATTATTATTGTCTTTACATTGAGTCCTGACTCACAACTTTTACTAAAGCCAGGCAAGATTAAGTTAGGTGTGGTGAAACTCTCTCAAAGGAAACCATGGAGGGGCTGGGAAGGTGGCTCAGTGGTAGAGCGCTTGCCATGAAGCACTGGGTTCGATTCCTAAGCACCACATAAGAAAAAAGCGGGAAGTGGCGCTGTGGTTCAAGTGGTAGAGCGCTAGCCTTGAGCTGAAGAGCTGAGGGACAGCGCCCAGGCCCAGAGTTCAGGCCCCACGACCAGACCCCCCCACAAAATAAAAAAGAAAAAAAAAAAGGAAACCATGGAATAGATAGAAAAGGGGGAAAGTAAATGTAGGTGGTAGTCCTCAGGTTCTTCTCCATGTCCCTACTTCTCAGTAGGATTTCATGTTTTAAAAATTCACTTTCCTGGGGCTGGGAAGGGAGCTCAGTGGTAGAGCGCTTGTCTTACTGCATGAGGCCCTGGGGTCAATTCCTCAGCACCATATAAACAGAAAAAGCTGGAAGTGGCACTGTGGCTCAAGTGGTAGAGTGCTAGCCTTCAGCTGAAGAGCTGAGGGGCAGCGCCCAGGCCGAGTTCAAGCCCATGACAAAAAAAAAAAAAAAAAAAAATTCCGTTTCCTGCCAGGTGCTGGTGGCTCATATCCATAATCCTAGCTACTTGAGTCTGAAGATTGCAGTTAGAAGGCATCTTGAGCACATAAATCTAAGACTCTTTTCTCAAAATAAACACCAAAAAGGCCAGAACTAGAAATGAGGCTCAGATAGAGCACTAGTCATATCAGTGAAATTAACCCAGGAACAGAAGGCCTCAAGTTCAAGCCCTAGTACTAGTGCATGTGAGTGCACACATGTGCACACACTCATATACACCAAAATTAGGTTTCCACTTTGTCTGAACAAAGGATTCTATGGCTAACAAAATTTGACTTGAATATCTAATCATAACAGAATTCAACTTCTTTTGATGTGATATTGATGGTATATAAATAAAATAGATGACCTATCAATTACTTCAGATTCCTGATATACAGAGCATGCTCAATGAAAAGGTTTTAAAAATGGGATCAAAGTACATCCCCCTCACTTTAAAATACTAAGGAATCAAAGAATTCTCTTCTGGGGAGAATGTTAGGAGTTCAGTCTTCTTTAACAACAACAACAAAAAGTTTTAGTAACATTAAAACTAACCTTCAAACCAGTTATTGACCCAAATAACATTATAAATTAGAAAATCATGACTAAAACATGATTCTGTCACACACAAACACATGTACATTTTGCATCAATTTCACCATATACCATTCAGCATTGGGATGGGAAGTTGAAACCATCTGTGGAAAATCAATCATGGTAATATGGTCATCTTTATCCAATATGAGATTGAATTCATTGAAATCTCCATGAATCAGACCATGATTTGCAAGTTTCACAATGAGTTCCATAGCTTCATCATATACCGATGCAGGATCTTCAACATGGTGAATCTGACATCTGAAAGTATTTTTACATATGAATAGGTCGTAAGTATTCATAATAACTTATTTTAATAAAAGTATGTAGGTATATGTAAAAAAAATTTCCTTTTTTTCTAGGTGCCAAGCAGTTCCTCATTCCAACAGAAGACATAAAATTAAAAAAAAAAATCACAGGGTTACTTCTGTATCTTCTTTCTGTTACCACCTCCTTTATCTTCCTTACAGTCAAACTCTTGTTATAATTTCCTTCCATTTACCACGTCTTTCCACCTACCTTCTATGAACCCACTGTAAATGAACAGGCTCTTATCTACATCGTCCCAATTAATTGTCAAATTGCCAATGATTTCCATGTTGCTAAATCAAAATTCTTAGTTGATTTCTGGAATTCTCTTGAGATACCTTCCTTACTAACTCTTGGAATAATATTCTCTTCATGTTTTCCTCTTTCCTCATCAACTATAACTTAGACCAAATGCCTTATTGTCATCACTGATTCCCCAGTTCCTTCATATTCAAATCTAGTCCCAAACTACTTAATTTGGTCCTAGCTGCAGCATATATCTAGAATTTGACCACTTTCATCACCTTCATGACATTGGTAGAGCTACAATCATCTCTTGCTTAGGTTTTAAGAAAGACTCCTTCCAGCAATCAGTGACACTATTAAGACATTCAATCATTTCAATCATATCCCTTCTCTGTTCAAAACACTTCAATGGCTTTCCATATCAAAATTAAAAATTCCTTACAAGCATCTATAAATTCTTAATGAGGTTATTACTTAACAAACACCCTACCTACTGCTTTTTTCACTTTTTAGTCATTCAGGTCAAGCTACACAGGCCTGCTCCTACTCTAGGCATGGCTGTAAACAGAATCTTATCCTATAGTTTTCTTCACTTGCTGTCTGTTCTATCTGGGATATTCTTAGAGTCTTAGACATCTGTATAATTTCTTTTCAATTTCCTGAACTGAGAAGGTTTCACCTTTTGATACTTCTTCTGAGGATCCTATATAAAACAGCAATCTTCTATATAAAATGTTAGTATTTCTATCTAATTTTATGCCAGTTTATTCTTGTGCATATTATTTGCAGATATACCTGCTATATGTGCTTTGTTGCTTAATTTCTTACTGATCGTGTCTCCTTCTATCAGAAGGTAAGTTGCACAAGGGCTTGGTTTTTTTTCATCACTGAGCTTTTTTAAAAGTCCTTGAAACGTAACAAATCTTTAATTAATATTCTATCAGGGAATGAGAAACTATAAAGTCCTAACTGTCAAAATGAAATTTGAGTCTTCCATTTAAGAGGAAACATCTTTACATAATTTTCAGATTTCCCAGAAGTGATTATTATTATTATTACTTAGGTGTGTGTGTTGGTCCTGATGTTTGAACTCAGGACCTGGGTGCTGTGTCTCTGAGCTTTCGTTTTTTCCCTCAAGACTAGTGCATTACTACTTGAGGCATAGCTCTATTTCTGGCTTTTTGGGGACTTAACTGGAGACAGAAGTCTCATGGACATTTCAAACCGTGATCCTCAGATCTCAGTCTCCTGAGTATCAGGATTAATTTTTTTTATTAAGATAAAAGGAACCTCAAATTAATTTATTAGAACTTATGGTTTTAAGAATAATTAATACTGGGGCTGGGAAGATGGCTCAGTGGTAGAGCGCTTGCCTTGCATGCATGAAGCCCTGGGTTCGATTCCTCAGCACCCCATAAGCAAAAAGAAAAAAAAAGCCAGAAGTGGCATTGTGGCTCAAGTGGTAGAGTGCTAGCCTTGAGCTGAAGAGCTGAGGGACAGTGCCCAGGCCCAGAGTTCAGGCCCCACGACCGGACCCAAAAAAAAAAAAAAAGAAAAGAATAATGAATACTTACAGAGGATAACCATTTATGAGCTCCATGACTACTGCATGGCGATTGTAATCAACTGGCTTGGGAACTGGAAATTTCCTGTCATGTAATGCCTAAAACAGTAAAACAGGAGTAAGTTAATAAAGAGATCATTACTTTTTAAGAACAATAAAAATGAGTGTATTTTCCCACACTAGAAGAAATGCCCATATATTTTACAAAAGCCCTTTATAAAATTGCATTTTAATCAGGTACTGGTGGTCATGCCTGTAATCCTAGTTACTCAGGAGGCTGAGATCTGAGGATCGCAGTTTAAAGCTAGCCTGGGCAGAGTAGCTCCAATTAACCATTCAAAAACCAGAAATGGTGCTGTGGCTCAGGTAGTAGTGAGCTAGCCTTGAGAACAAAGAGTTTCAGGGACAGCTCTCAGGCCCTGAGTTCAAGCCTTACAACAGATAAAAAAAAATTACATTTTATATATGGCGATCTATATATAGCAAAATGTTTCTGTTCTCACGGTTTCTTATGTTTTCTGCTTTGTTTCTGCCCTTGGTTGATATATGCTTAACATATTCTAATGGAACAAACTGTGATTTAGTTATAAGTCTTCTAGCACAGTAGGAAACTGGGTATTCCAAAGGTCAAGCATCTTATTTTGTACACCACTGAACTTTGTATCCAGAGCACACTAGGTAATACAAAGCTTAAGTTATGAACATATATACTGTACTGACCTGAGTCAAAATTGTTTCAGATCACTCATATATGTAGATATATATATAAATATATACATATATACACTATATATATGTATATACGTATATATATATATATGTATATACGTATATATACATATATGAGTGATCTGAAACAATATACATGAATGATCTGCAACAATATATATATATCATTTTGATTATACTTAATTTCTTCTTCTTTCAAAACCCCTTTTATGTTCTCAACCACTTGGAATGCTAGCATTCCTAAGTAAGTCTTCATCATTTATGCATAATTGCTAGTTGTCTTAGCTCTTGTTACCATACTTAAACTAGTCTATCAATTAATAACAGACTATAAAGTATCTATGCCAGTGCACCATTTAAAAAACTTACAATGGACGTAAACATTGAATTCACTCTGAACTTTCCTGGCTTTCAAAACTCCTTTTCATCTACTTGTCTAGTCCTCACTCTGTATTCACTCAATACTGAGGTGTGCAGTCAGGGAAGTTACTTTACTATCACCTATACACACAGGTTCACCTCCATTCATGTCATTACCCATACTAGTTCTGCAAAGCACAAATCACACCCAAGTTGCAAAATATCACTCAGCTCCCGATGACTTTATGATGACTTTATGGTATCTCCCTTCATCAACTTTTCTACTCTACTAAGTGAAGTTTCTCTAAACTCAATGTATAATATTTTTGAAAAAAATTCTTTGTTTTATGCGTGTTTATGTTATCTTCCCAACTTTAAGATACACACTATGCTGGTTATTCCTCTGGAGTCATTCCTGTATATTCCATATACAGTACCCAATTTTAAAAGGTGTTTCCTCTGCTATCCACCTTTTGTGGACAGGAACTGACCTATTCTCTATTCCCCAGGTTTGTTTTGCTTCAAAAGGGTTGTTTTCCCAATGCAAACTGGTATAAACATGCCTCAGAGGCTTAGCAGCACATGTTAACTTTAAAGATTGTCAATATTTGTCGAACTTATATTACAACATAACTTTCAAGTCACAGCTTTGAGGATCCCAGTTAGGAATGTCTTTCCTGGAAATAAAGCTGTGGCTCAAGTGGTAGAATGCCAGCCTTGAGTGAAAAAGCTATGAGATAGTGCCTAGGTCCAGAGTTTAGGCCCCAATACTGGTGCTCGAACATATATGTGTGCACCCCTGCCCCAAACATATATGTATATACAAATTCACAAATTGACCTTCCATTATGTTTAAGAAAAAGGCTAATCAACCTATTGGAGACACTAAGGTTTCTAAAGATGATTATCTGGTGTTTTCCATTAAAAATTGACACGTATAGCTACATGTGCTGAATAACTTTTACAAATTCATATTTATATTAATAATAATCACAAATACCTTCACTAAGAGGTGAAGAGCATAAGGTAATCAAGAGTTAAGAGTGACTACTATGGACTGAGTCTGAGGTTAGGGAAGTACTTATTATTAAGATATTTCTATTACTTGGTTAAGAAATGTAAAATCATTAAAACACATACCTTCATATACGCAAATTCCTTCATGGCAGAAAGGCGAGATAAATAAAGCCAAGACACACTATGCCTATGTTTATGGTAATCACGCTTGTTTTTCAGATTGCGAAAGGAGGTTCTTCCTAATCTGTGAAGCTTTAATGCAAATTGCTGTCCTTCTTCATTTGCAACAATGTAAATATCTAGAACCAAGATTTTGAAAGGATCATTATTATGCTTCTGCCTTTATTGCAGTGTTAAAATAAATTTAACTTTACAGGCCTTCATACTTATCTGGTATCTGTCATCTTTCCTAGTAGTGACCCTTATTTGGCAAATTTTTTTTAAATTAATAAGTTCTTTTAAATTGCGAAGATACCGTACAGAGGGGTTACAATTACATGAGCAAGGTAATAAGTACATTTCTTATCAAGCATTTTTGCCTCTGCCCTTTAAGTTACAATTTTACTTTACAACCCAAATGACAGATTAACTAAAAAAGTAGACATACAATATTTCAAAGGTTATTGCTTCTAAACAATCAAGAGAGGAAATATCATCTAATTGTTTCTTACTGTTCTGTGAGGACTTTTTTTGTTTGTTTTTTGTTGTTTTTTTTGGGGGGGTCGTGTCAGGGATCAACCCAAGGCTTTGCTCATGCTATACTAGTGCTTTATTACTAAGCTGCATACTCAGAACAAGACAATTGATTTAATTTATTCAATTCAACTTTTTTGATGACTAAATAGTTGTCATAATCCTATTAAGGATCAAATAAGTAATGTTAACTATCCAAATAAGTTGCTATTTGTAATGTTCTAATTACTTAGAGGAAATTCAAGTTGTACATGTCACAATTTATCATTACTGATAAATTGAAGCCCTATCTACACTGTAACTACCAGGGAACAGGGTCTTTAAAGAGGCTGTTAAGGTTAGGTCCTAAAGGCAAGGCTCTAATCTAACAGAACTGGGTCCTTACTAGAGACATCAGAGAAACAGAGAAGGCCATGAAAGAACACAATAGCAAGGCAGGTGTTGATAAGCCTACATGATGACTTTAAAGAAATCAACCTTGATCATAGACTCCTTAATCTCATATCTATCTACTGCTATCTCTATGTATTTACCTAAGTGTGATTTTTTTATTATTTCCATGTGATATACATTTTCAATTGCTACAAATGTACAATTTATGAAATACAAAAGAAAAAACAAATTACGTGTCTTTAATTCCCAGTTCCTGAATGGGACCAGAAATGTTTCTTCTCCATTTCTCCCTCTTTTAACTCCGTTAGATTAAATTAAGTCCTTGTTAAAACTAAAAACAAAACAAAAACACCACCAAAATAACAAATAAAGTATTTGCCAAAGAGTTGAGTATTCAGAGGAAAGCAAGGGCTTTTAGGTGGTGAAACAGTGGGGAAAAAATGTACACAGCATATCTGAGGTCTGTCTCCATCATCAAAGGAAAAGTTACAGGAAAACTAATTCGTGGTATAACTGGATTCTCAGTAACAAATTTATGGAGATAATGATAACCTACTAAACAAATGGTAGGTTCCTAAACTGTACTGCTTCCAATCAAGTTTCTGAGTTCCTGTTTAGTTGGAAAATATGTAAGCACTGAGAGAACAACACTTTCTCAATGGTAAATATGAACTAAAGAAAATGCTCTCAACAGCACTAATAGCACTTACTTACCAGATTCTTTACCAACACCCATCTGATTTCCAACAGACTCGACTATCTGTCTAGAAGAAAGTGTTTTCAAAGCTAGGTAATCATAGCCTGCGTTTGTCAATCGATAGCCCTGGACAGCTAAACAAAAATCAAATGACAAAGACAATGTTTTAGTTATACTGCAGCAAGAAGACATATCAATTCAAGTAGTTAATGTGTAAAAACAAAACAAAAGGTGGGATAGCTTAGATGAAAAATGATACAGTACCCAGACTTCCAAGTTTTTTATATTTTTTTCCTGTTTTGGGTGTTACCCACTTCATTTTCTTTTTCAGTGGGAGATTAAACCCAGAGGGCTTTTACCACTGAGCTACTTTCCAGCCATTACTTCATTTGTCTTTTTTATGTACTAGTCTGAATTCAGAGCCTCATACTTGCATGTCTTGCTTGCTCAGCTGAAGCTCTTCTGCTTGAGTCCTATCTCCAGACCTGCTTTAGGCTGGGTAATTTTTTTCCTTTTTGCCAGTTCCGAGGCTTGAACTAGGGCCTAGGCACTGTCCCTGAGCTTCTTTTGATCAAGGCTAGTACTCTTAATCACGTGAGCCACAGCCCTACTTCTGGCTTTTCTGTTTATGTGGTACTGAGGAACTGAACTGAGAGCTTCATGCATGATAGGCAAGCACTCTACCACTGAGCCACATTCCCTAGGCTGGGGAATTTTCAAACTTCAATTCTCTGTATCTCAACCTCTGGAGTAGCTAGAATTAAAGATGTAAGCCAGTGGGCTCTGGCTCCACTTCATTTTTCTTTTTTTTTTTTTG